GAAAGACCTGAATTAAGTTTCTGGCTTCTGGTTTTGACCTGGTCAAACCTTTGCAGTTGTAAGCACTTGATGAGGGAACCAGCAATTCAGATCTTTGAGCATCTGCCTGTCTTTCTCTGTATTTCAAATAAATAAAAGTAAAAAGATAAAAATTGAAAGGTGAATCAAATGGCTCACCCTTCTGTAAACAGTGGTTTTCAAAATATCTTTATTTTTAGTTTATTTGAAAGGTAAATAGACAGAGAAAGATCTTTCCTTCACTGTCCACTCTCAAATGGCCTAGAACATCCAGTCTGGGCCAAGCTGAAGTCAGGAGTCCAGATCTCAATCCCAGTTTCCCATATGAATGGTCGAAAAGGCCTTGCTTCAATTAGTTGTATGTCTTTCAATGCCATATTTTTAAACTTCTTTCTCATAAAGTATGAAAAAGCAAAATATAGTATTACAACTCAAGGTCTTTGATCATCCCTTAATCTAGTTGAGTTTGACTACTTCCTTGAATTCTGTTGGTTTTAGAATAGTTCCTTTTTTTTTTCTTTTTAAAATTCTATTTCTATTGGAAAAGCAGATATACAGAGAGGAAGAGAGACAGAGAGAAAGCTCATCCATCTGCTGGTTCACTCCCCAAATGGCCACAATGGCTGGAGCTGAGCCAATCCAAAACCAGGACCCTGGGGCTTCTTCTAGGTCTCTTATACGGTGCAAGGTCCCAATACTTTGGTCCATCCTCTACTGCTTGTGGCCCAAAGTATTGGAACTGCAGGGAGCTGGATGGGAATTGGAGCAGGCAGGACACAAACTGGCATCCATATGGAATCTGGGCCATTGCCTGGTGAGGATTTAGCCACTAGGCTACTGCACTGGGTCCAGAATAGTTCCTCTCTATACAATGAAGACAACCATAGTCAACTAGATTGTATCAAAAGAAATAGAAGTGACATATATGATTATGCTACAATAATGCTTTATAAAAAATATTTTCCATCAAAAGTGTGTCTCATCCTAAAACTGGAACCTGGGTGATGGTCTTGAATGTTTTCTGTTGGCATCTTTAGGTTCGATTCCTTGTTTAAAACAGTGATGACAACTTCTCTCATAAAATAAGTTAAGACCAAAGAGATGATCCTTTCATAGCTTGTGATAAAACCCAAGTTACTTTGGCTACATTTTAAAAGCAGAAATAAGAAGTTGTTCTAGCCAGGGGATGTGATATGTGCAATGATACTGTCAACATTCTTAGACTACGGCTGCTTTCGTCTGGCTTGCTAAGTACTTGATTAGAAGAGACATGTGAATATAGATGGACTGACCGGGGCTTTCGGGGGAAAGATGAGAATGCATGCAACAGAAGAGCCGCATTTCTGAACTTCATTGCTCTGAACAAGTCTTGACTAGACGGAGCAAAAGGCACAAGGTTTTACTTCATCAAGGTATTAGCTTCTGACCATTTTCACATCCACATCCCCCAAGGTCAGTTACAGGACTGGGCCCTGACACTTAGTACTGATGGATAAAACATGATGTGTTCCAGTTGGTGACATTCATGAATGAGGACCGTTAGTAAATGGCACATCTACATCACCCACACAATTAACAGTAAGTTATAATTAACTGAGGCTTGTCTAGAAGAGGCGGTCGATGTTATCTCAAATGGAGTCCCAGAATGCAGATTACATACTAATGAAACATGGATGGTATAACATTAAACACGATTTAATAGAAGAGGGAATTCACTAGTGTTTCAGAGTTTGTCTTGATCCTGGTGCTTTATTTTCTTCAAAGTTATTCTGAACTAATTTGTGAACATCACTTGGATGTTTTTACAACTTTGTTTTTCCCATAATCATTTGCAAGTAGATGAATTCAATTTGATTACAATTTGTCTGAAAATGTATATAAAACACATTTTATATACATATATATTGTTATATTATCAACAAAATGATTAGGACAACTGTTGGTGAGTCTCTCCTGAAGCAGCTTGAAGGTTTTTGGCACCAGAGAACGATTTCCATACAAGTGAAATGGCAGGTAAGAGACAGCTGCTGGAATGAGGAGGAAGGGAATGGGGCAGCCTCCACTTACCTGAGTGTGAACACTGGTTCCTGTCATCTTTCATTTCTCTTCCACTTTCTGATTTCAATTTACTTTTGTCAAGGAATAAGAAAAAAAAAAAAGAACCCTTAAAATTGGACAGTGTCCAACAGCTATGTGACATGAGAGTCGGTGACAAAAGTTTCAGATTCCATGTGTCAGTTTCACTGATGACTCATTGAGAACTTGGTACAAGTCACTTAATCTTGTGTTACTTCAGTCCCTGGATGTGTATTTAAAAAAAACAAAACTGGGTAATATTTGATCCTAAAATACAATTAGGGCGACTATTCGAGTTTTAAGAGGACATTTAATTATGTAAATTTCCAGCACTTAAAAAATTACCCTCACTGTACATGTATGTTTTAATCTTTATCTAAGTTGACTATTTCATCTTACTTGGACTAAGATTCTTATCCTTAATGTCTGGTATCAGTATGTTAACCTGCTTTTTTTTCTTATATGGAAAGGATAAGACCCAAACATTGTATTTTATAAGAAAAGCATAATTTATAATCTGAGTAGAAATACAAAGCTTTTTAAAAATTTCATGTTTCAATTCTATTTTTGTGAATTCTTTTTATTGGAAAGGCAGATATACAGAGAGAAGGAGAGACCAAGAGAAAGCTCTTCAGTCCGATGACTCACTGCCCAAGCAGCTATATCAGCTGGAGCTGAGCTGATTGGAAGCCAGGAGCCCGGAGCTTCTTCCCCATTTCCCACGTGGGTGCCAAGGCTTGAGGCTGTCCTCTGCTGTTTTCCAGGCCACAAGCAGGGAGCTCAATGGGAAGCGGAGTAAGCCAGGACACGAACAAGTGCCCATATGAGATCCTGGTGCATGCAAGGTGAGGACCTTAGCAGCTAGGCCACTGTGCCAGGCCCAAAAGTTGCTTTTCTTAACACCTGTCTTTCCTCCCAGGTATTTTATGGTAACTAGGTCAAGTTTTAGAGTTGGGAGAACCGCAGTTTTGGAGTAGGAAAAAGGAAATAAACATTCATGAAGTTTTAAATTTGAATTTTGGTTATATAAAAGTAAGGCAATCTGGGTAAAATATTCCACATGTACTCAACAGAACAAAGAGCAGAAGCAAAGTTCTTTCTATGCAAGGTAAACACTCTTAAGATGTTCTTTGTTCTCTTTCCACAGAAATTTCCCATGCATATAGAAAAAAAGGGTTCAACATTATGGATGCCCCCCTTCACCTACCCTAGTATAGCAGTGTGCGCTGGTCGATCTCATTTTCAAAACCAGCTGCGTACTTTATCATATATGTATGCGCATATATAATTAACTTAAGCAGAAACAGACTTTTTAAATGACAGAAATACTGGGGGGAGGCAACACACCACACACACACACATATAGTCAGGTTAAATGGGCATTATCAGCGTTAACAGCACAGCCGCAGCCACAGCAAGGGACAGTCAAAGCTTATTAACCCCACGAAGATGTTTTTCACCTCTGTGGAGTGCCCTTCCTCTCTCCATTCACTGCTTCTCCTAACTTCCTCCTTCGCTCAGCAGAGAAAGTGAGACCAGTGGAACTCTTCCTGGGAGAGGCTTCACTGGGTGCTGTGTGCAGCTACCAGAGGGGGTGTCGGGACCCAATATCCGTGCTTTCTCTCCGACGTCCACTTCCCTGGCGAACTCAGGGGACCTTCCCTGTGCACTTGGCGGTGACTTCCTACCGCTGGTCCGCGACAATACATCAAGACCCTCATAATGCTCTCCCTGCAGGGCAGAAGTCACAATTTAAGGAAGGCAGGGGGCTAATTTTTGTCTTAAGATAAAAATCTTCCAACTGCCCCCCCTTCCTGTAAACCAAACAGCATTGTCCCACCCTCACACGATCTCATTACTTACAGTGCGGTGACTCAAGATCACCAGCACTTCTATTCATAAGAAGTCTGCTGGCCCCAAATCAACCCATTCGGGCCCCACCCTTCCTCCTCTTCTCTCCCCCGGGAACCGGGCGCTCGCCGCTCCCGCTACACCACGTCTCATTGGAGTAAGGATGGCGTGGGTTTGCTGCCACAACGGTTTGTGCCGGGATTTTATAAACCTCCCCCGTCGGGCTTTCAAGTTCATTCGGTTGAGGTTTAGGGAAACGGAGGTCAGAATCTTACTAGCCTCCGGGTTTTCCTATTCAGAAGCCGATTGTCCCATCAGCTGTGAAGCAGGCTGAGGGCTGGGTTTGCTCCGCAATCACCTGCACCTGCATGACCCCCGCCCGCCGAGGCTTAGAGTCGCAGCATCCGAGTCTGCACTTAACCTGCACAAAAGAGGCCCCTCTTTCTCCTTCGGATCCCACCCTTCACAGCGTCCTCGGTGCCCAGTAATAAAAATGCCTCGCGCGCTCTGGGTCACGCGCGGCCCGCTCCCCGGCCTGCCCCCTCGGTGCCCGCGGTCCTCGAGGACTCGGGCGGCCGGCCGGGAGAGGGCGCAGCCTGGGCGCCAGCGGGGCCGGAGGACGCGAGCTCGGAGCGCGGAGCCGCGGCTGCGCCCGGGGTCCCGCGCCCGGGGTCCCGCTCCGAGGGGCAGGCGGGGCGGCAGCGAGGGGGCCGGCCCGGCGCCCGCAACTCGGGCCCGGGAACTTCTCCCCGCCCCGCGCCCCGCGGCTCCCGCACCCCGCTCGGGCCCGCCCCGCCCCCGCCCCACGCCGCGGCCGCGCCGCCCCCCTGCCGGCCGCGCTTCGCCCGCTTTACAAAGGAGGGAAAATGAGGCGGGCGGCGGCCGAGGCGGCGGAGGCGCGGCGCGGGGCCCTCAGCGCGGCCGCCCCCGGCACCACGTAAAGCGCCCCCGCCGGCCCGCGCGTCCCCCGGGCCGCCCGTCAGGCCCGCGGCGGCCCAGGCCCGAGCAGAGGCCGGCCGGGTGGCTCGGCCGCGGGGTGGCTCGGCCGCCGGGGCCCTGCGCGTCGCCGCCGGCCGGGGAGGAGGCGGCGAGGAGGACGAGCCGCAGGCGCCGCCTTCCCGCGCCGCGCGCCCTCGCCGTTGTCTGCGCTCCGGCTCTGGACCAGTTTGGGGAAGTTGCCAGGGCCCCGCGTCGTCCAGATGTGCGACCTCATCGAGCCGCAGCCGGCCGAAAAGATCGGCAAGATGAAGAAGTTGCGGAGAACTTTGTCGGAGAGTTTCAGCCGCATCGGTGAGTGGCCGGCGCCCCGGGTCCCGCTCCCCTGCGGCCCCGCGCCGACGCACCGGCGGGGCAGCTGGCGCCGGGGCCGGGCTGGAGGGGTGCAGCAAGCCGGAAAGGGAGACCCCCGCACCGCAAGACCTGGCGCGTCCGGGATCGTCGCAAGCCTGCAGTTGCGGGGCGACCTCCCTGGCCCGCGGGCTCGCTCGGGGCGCTCGCGGGCACGGGCGAGGGGACGGCGCGGCCGCCCGGGTGTCCGGGTCAATTTTCGCGCGTCGGGCTTGGGCATCGGGCGTGGAGGCAGTGAGTTGGCGTTGGACATTGGCGGAACGCGGGTTGGTACCCTGGTGTTCGCTAAGCTATCCGGCGTCAAGGCAAGCAGGAGGGTACCCCGAGACCTTTTGTTCGGTACTTGGGGTCCCAGAGAGCGAGGGTTTGGGAGTGGAGTGCCCAGGTCTCCCAGTGTCCCCGCAGCTGGAGGGAATTGCACGCCGAGGAGCTCTCTGGGCGTGGAGCAGTCAAGTCGCCCAACTTGTTCCCATTGCTTGAGCCAGGGGCCATTGTCTTCCAACCAGCCAAAGCCCCGAGGAATGTTCAGGATGATTAGAGCCGTGTCAGACCGCGACTGGGGTGACAACAGTGTCACGTGAAACGGGTTAGCTCCAGGTTGGCTTTTGGCATAGAAACCCCCTGTTAACTTCGAAGAAAGTAGCCGCCTCCCTTCCCCCACCCCCCAGCTGTCAGAAGTTTCACTGATGCAGGTAACTGCCCTCAGCTGGCGGAAAAACAACCCTCGGAGTCCGCGAGAAGCCCCGGGCCTTTGTCTCGCGTCATCCATGTTAATGAGGAAAAGCCGAAAGGTACCAGTTCCTCAGGTTAGCGTCCGGGTGCTGCTGTCGCCCACCCTGTTCATTGTAAAGGCCTGCAAACTTGCTTCACGTGAGAGACAACGAGGTTGTGCGGGCGGGGGGTGGCGTCGGGGGGATCGAGGCAAGTTTTCTCTTTCACTTTTTTTTTTTTTTTTTGGTCATCTTTTGACTTCACATTCCCCAAGATGACTGCAAAGTTCTGTGAGAATGAAACTGGTCCAGGTGTTGTTCATTGTTATTCACTGTTACTCATCTGCATCGCCCTCTCCCGTCCTGGGCAGTGCCTCGGTACAGATGAAGTTGGGGAGTTGAGTGTGCGTCCTAGGTGGGGAAGCCTGTGTGCTATTCACCAGGAGCCTGCGCCCCGACGGTCAGCAGGCGGGGCCTCGAGTCCATCGGGCTGGGTTCGGAAACACACCGACTGTATTTACTCGTGATCATGACTCTGTTGGAGCCCCTCCAGTTTTGCGTTAAATAATTCATCGCACTTGAGTCTCAGGTTAAAAAAAGACATCAATATAAAATTTCCTTAGGTTTAAATACTTTCAGGGATTTGATTGACAATCAGTAAAATTTAGGTTCACAGTGGTGCAGGCAAATGGGGGTATTACAGTTGAATGGATTTTCTAGCTTGCTGAGAATCAGTGATGTGAAACTCCTTTTGAGTCCAGCTCTTGTTAAGTCTTTTAAGACCTTGCGGATGTTGTTTCCTCCCTTCGGGAAGCAGTGCAGCACAGTGAACACTACTGATGACTTCTTGTGCTGATGGAGGGTGGTGACTCGGAATGGGACGTCTCCTTGCGGAAGGCTGTTAGAGGAGACGCTGAAGTTGAAGCGACTGCAGTGGCATAGCAAGCCCAGGAAGCTCATGGGGAATAGCATCCCTGAACAAGTCCTGTCTACTAATTTCCTTGACGTTTTCTTTTCTCAACATCGAAAGCGATGAAGTCTTTCTGGTTATTGAGGGACTTTCCTCCCCCCAGTATAGAGTTGTGTATGTGTAGAGCTTACCTCGTCCACTCCCTTTGAAGGACTTGTGACGTGCTGGCGGCTGTGGAGTGTTAGCACATTGTGTGAGTCAGAGGTGTTGAGCTGTGTGCTGGATGCACTGGCCATTTCCCATGTTGCTACTCCTAGCCAAATGAGCTTGAGCAGCTGTCCTTATTGCCTTGAATTTCATTTTTTCCCATAAGTAGCTAAACTTGGTGATAGGCACTTGAAGACAAACACACACGCTGTCCCACATTGCATGTCATAGAAATTCAAGGATTGTCAATGTGGTACTGTTATCATTAGTGGCTCTGCTGTACCAAGGTGGACACTCTTCAGTAGAAAAAGGGAGAAAAGAGGACAGTGGGTCACTGTAGTACAGCCAGCCTACCAAAAGATGCTCTTGCAGTTAGGGGGCAGGCCTGGGTTTGAACCCTCTTTTTCCTGCTTGCTTCATGACCTTGAGCAGACATCAGTGACTGTTGCTGTTGTTGTGAAGTGAGAGGCAGAAGATGAAAAATCCCACGTGCAGTGTTCACCACAGGTGACTATCGCTCTAGAAGCTGTTGTCACCCCTTCTGGTTTCTGTTTATCCTTCTACACTGGGACTTCAAGGGGGAGATCCAAGAGAAAATGGTTTGTTCCTTTGGGATAATCTGGCATTGCAGAGTAGTGATTCCACTTAACCAGTCTCAGATGGCTTTCAAAGCAGATGTACCAACTTAGTTTTGCTTTTTTACGGTGATTGAACACTGGATCCTGTTGTATGATGGATGATTGTCCTTGTTTAGCCACAAGCAATTACCAGATAATTCATCTGTGGAAAATGAGGATAGTGTTTGAAAATGTGTGACAACCAATGAATATTATTAATAATTCTGAATAGATGACCATAGCAACACAATGTAATTCATTCGCACAATCAGAGATGATGCTTGACTTTGTCATAGCCCAGCCGAAACAGAACCGATGTGAGATGACGGAATTATAAAGGGTCCAATAAAACACATGGGCTTTCAAGCCATCATGCTCTAATCTATGGCATCTGCTATGAGGTGACTGTAATATAGCTATGATTCTTTTATAAGAGGAGGTAATTGAAATTTAAAGTCGCCCATGGATTTCAGCAATATCTGCATTTTTTTTTTTTTGCTAAGCAGTATCAGTGTGGTCTTTTACTTAGGAATTAGTATAGTTGCTCACATGTTTTATTTTTTACAATTTTAGCTAAAGAGATGGGAATTTAACCATTGAACATCTTAAATATGTTAATATTCATTTCCTCTTTTTTAAATTTTTGAATGATAACCTAGAAAGATAGAGGCTCTGTAGATGACTATCTCATAAAGGTCAAACTGACATTTCTTAATATTCATTTGAATGCATTTCTTCAGGCTTATTTGGATTGTTTCCTAGAGAAAGGGAGTCTTCGCTGTGATATTTGAGATGAGCCCGATGTATCCCACATCCATCAGGGCATGTGGTTTGTGAGAGAACTGAGTAAAAGGAAGAGGTTGTCATTCACTGAATTTCGGGTTTCTTACCTTGTGCAGTACCTGTGTCATTCTGGAGACCATCATTTGATGAGCCCTTTCTGTCAGGACAGAGAAATCTGAAGAGTAGGACACAAAGTTTAACCGTTGTAACACAACCTCTCCCAGTACGGGTTCAAAAGATTGCTTTTAGAAATGTGCAACGTGGAACTTAATCTGTGAAGCCTGGATAAGAGAGGGCAGCGAATGAGTTTCATGTGGCACAACGTCAGTGTGCCAGACAATGCAAGGTGCAGTTGTTTAGCCATGGAGGTAGGCATCGTTAAGTTCACTAATCATTACCAAGTGCCTCCTCTCTGCTGGGCATTGTGTGGACACACAGGTGACCGGTGAGGCTGGTCCCTGTGGTGGGGGGAGAACGAGCCTCTGTAGGGGCATTGATAGGATAAGGAGACAGATGGTGCCAGAAGAGCGGTGTTCCCTGGGAGGTGCCTCCCTGTGAAGCTGATGCTCTCCTGGGAAGCCTTCTGCAGAGGGATGGCCTGGCAGAGGACTCGGTAGGACATCTGGTCCTCTTCCATGGTTAACTGGAATAGTACAACTTGCTTGTTACTGCAGCGGGTCCTCGGAGGCGGTTGTGTGTTCACAGGAATGATTCATGTCAAGGGATGTGATCAGTAAGGGGCTGTTGCAAGCCTGCCTTGGGCAGAGTTTCTTCTTCAATGACCTGATAAATATCTATCAAGACACCTTTCATTAGTCTTGTTTTTTTGGTGGGGGTCACTGCTAATTGCACAAGGATTCAGTACTGAGAAGGAAGCATGGAAGGTGTCAGTCTAGTCCTGGAAGGTACCAATGAAGTAACGGACCTGTTGGCCTTAACATGTTCCCCCTCCTGCCCCACAGGGCACTGGACTTGAGGATACATAGTGCAGGGAAGAGAATCCTGGCTTGTTCCTTCTAGCCTAGCAGATACTCCCACAGTTTCTTCTCTTATTTTCTTCTCTTTCTGTCTCTGCATTCCTCCATGCTATCCTGAGTATTGGAAGCGGATCAGGGCTCATGAGGCAAGGAGGAACTGGACCAGCCTAGATGTGTAGGATCTTCACTTTCCTGTTTCTCAGTGTGATGGTTTTCATTCCGTGTTCATAGTTGCCCAAGGGGTGATATCAGCTTGAGTTCTTACTGGATGCTTTGCTTAAGTAAACAAATGGCTAACTCTTTAGAGCTTGTGTGAGACACTGCCTGCTCCCATGGAGTCAGTATATTTAAAGGTGTGGGTGTCAGGAGCTCAGCGAATTGCACCATCACCGCCACCTTGCAAGGGTGTGCAACAGTGGGAGTGTGGAGTCGCCAGAGCTGGGTGTTGGTAAGGGTCACAGGCGTCTTAACTAGCAACTTAGCTATTAGACCAAACGCCATTCCCTGTTTAAAAAAATTGTTTTTATGTGAAAAGCAGATTTACAGAGACAGAAGGGGAAAGCAAGAGAGAATTTTCCTTCTGCTGGTCCATTCTCCAGAGACTGCAATGGCCAGAGTTGAAGCAGTCTAAGTCAGGAGCCAGGAGCTGCATCTGGGTCTCCCAGGTAGATACAGGTGCCCAAGGATGTTAGCCATCCACTGCTGCCCTCTCAGGTCGTAAGCAGGGAGTTGAGTTGAAAGTGGCTTAGCCAGGCCCGGGCTAGTGTGCATATGGGAGGCCAGCACTGCAGGCAAGAGAATTAGCTTGTATGACACAGTGCCAGCTCTGATTATTCCCTTATTTTATCTTTGACATAGTCTATGGCATATGCATAAAAAACACAAGCAGTTGAATACAAAATAAGTCCTTTGGGACAATAGACTTGTCTTTATTTTTCACTCACAAAAAGTTTTTCTTTGATACAGTCAGATCTATTATAGATCAGTTTCCTAAGCAAAATGAAAATCCTGCGCATTAAACTTTAGCATTAAACTGTCTTCCTTGGACAGCCTATATCCCTGTTAACACAATACCTCAATCACATACTTGATCTTTTCGGAAAAAAAAATTAGAAAAATTGCAATATAAAACAAAATTACCTTTTCAAGAGTGTTAGAAAAGTTTTTGTATAATAGATTCAGGTTACACTTGTTACTTTTCCTCAGAGCTTTAATTATTCAAATATTCCAGCCACTGGTTTTGTGGTAGCAGTCCCTACGCGTCTGCCCAAGCAAGGACCATCGCCAGTAGTCGGCCAACACCTCCCCATTGCTCTGCAGACGGCAGGCATTTGTCTGAGTTGCGCATTTAGATTAATGAGCTACTTGGCACATTCTTCTTGAACAAGAAGCATTCTAAGTAATCCCAGGATATGGGGACCTAGGAATTTGCCAAGTAGAGGTGAAATTTCTTGTCCCCCACCCCCCTTCCCTGGCCTTGGAGTGATAAAATCCCGCTACCAATGAAACAAATTTGAAGTATTTGCTCATTCCTGGAAAGATTTTGACTATGTTCTCCTTGGAGTTCAGGATGCGATGTGTCCCATTGACCGTTGTCTCTTGCTCAGCTGTGCTTCTCCGACACGTTCCGTCTTTCCTTAGTGTGAGAGTCTCATGCAGGACGTGAGTCTGGGCAGTCGCCCGGCCTGTGGCTTGGCGTCCATACACCTGCCGGGATGACGTAGGGTCAGAGGCCAGGAGCTTATGGGAAGAACTATTAAAGATGACTTTGTGATTCTTGCATGCTTTTGTTCAAACAATTTTTGCATAAAGAAGATTGTGGGGTAGATCTGCATGGTTTCACTCTGCACCCGGGTTTGGGAAATTAGCTCTATTTACATAATTACGGGCAGTGATTTACAAGGAAGTGTATTGTGTGGTATCTTTCAACTGCCGCTTGTGTATTGCATCCTGACACTTGCTGGTCAGGTTGGACTGCAGTTTTTCTTTCTGTAATGAAAACACCATGATGCTTTGTTCTGCTCTGTTTTCTAGAACTTGGATACTTGGTCTCCTTGGGATTTTTCACAGTAACTTTCCTTTCCCTTTTTATTTTATAGCCCTGAAGAAAGACGATGCCGCGTTTGATGAGGTAGGCTAAATTTCTTTATCTGATGTTGGATATATTAAGTTACGGCCAGGTAAAGCTAGTAGGTGCCAATTTCACACAAATGTACAAATGCCTTAATAACAAATGAGCAAGAAATGACATCTGTGTAGTTAGCTAATGATAGATCATTTATGATTTTTAAATAGACGTTTGAATGAACTTTGGTAGCTTTTTAAGCTGGTAAACACAGTGATGAGACACACGAGGGCCTTCTGCCTTCTTGTTGGGGATGGTAGTTGGGAATCTTGGCTTGATGTACATGCCTAGGACAAGTCTGGAGCTGTTGGGACACTGGGCTTGGTGTCCCCTTTGCAGACCTTGGCAGCATCCGGTGTGATGGGGTACTGACGCCACGGATCGCCTGTCTCCTCCCAGAGGACGAGCTGACTTTTCCTGCTCTAGTTTGTTCTTCATCAGACCTTTCTTTATCGTCTTGCTATCTAGGAATAAAAACAAAACAAACCAAAACAAACAAAAAGCCCTGTCCAAATAAGGCAGAGGGTTCTTATGCAATTAATAGCATCCTTAATGTGATATTTTAAAGCATACTGTTTCCTGAGATCTTATAGTCCAAGTGGCAATCACCGGGAAAGTTTTATGTGTTTGTGAAATGTTTCCAGTCCTGTGACTTTACAGAGCTCCATGCACTGCCCACTATGCCTGGGCATGACTGATGCCAGTGTGAAGCCAGGAGCTGTGAACTCTCGCTAGGTCTCTGGGTGGCAAGGACCCAAGTCCCTGGGCCACCTCCTACTGACCTTTAGGGCTCACGTGAACAGGAAGAATCAGGAGCTGGGTTTTGGATGGATTGAGGATGTGTGTTTTTGTGGGACCACGGAGAGATCTGTACCGTGCCCTTGCCTTGCTGCTTAATGAAGGCATAAGTTAGTTTGGTTGGGTTGTTGTGGAATCCTTGAAATACACTACCCAAGCTCCCCTGTGCCATGCAGCTTTACTGAGGAAAGGGTGTCTGTGTGCATGGAAGGTCTCCTTGGCCATGTGGCAGGCCGTGCTGCATGGCAGGTTCACTCAGGAAGGACCTGCTCCAGGCTGAGCTCTCTGGCGGGCCAGCATCATTTGGCCATCACGGTCTGCCGCTTCATTTGCTGCACCTGTTCCTTTTTTCCTTCCCTCTCTGGCTGAGTTCTGCAGAGCTGCATGTCTCTGGACTCCGAATTGACTTTACCTGCCAGCATTCCTGTAACATCCTCTAAAACTTAATTCTTGTAGGCCTGAAGCAGTAGACGAACCTCTTCCTACCCACCCGTAGTAGTAGGTAATAATGGTGCTTTCCTCCAACCTGTATTACTGGAATTTCTGCAGTGTTTGTTACTAAGACGTTTTCAGATTATTTTCTTCCGTCTCAGGAGAAATCAATGTGAAAATATTGGGTACCTTTTCTCTCTTTGTAAAGGAAGTTCTTCCCTCTAATTATGAAAGTAATTTAAGCTTGGTTGAAAAAAAGGAGAGAGAAAAATCTTAAGTAGTTACTCACATACAATCCCTGTTGAATGTCCTTCTTTGCTTCCATGTTTTAGTAACCTAGATCCTTGTTGTCTTACATTTTCTTTAAACCTGTGGTGTGATAGTCCCTCATGATTTGACAAACTCCTCCTAATCATTGCTAGGATTTAAAAAATTCAATTTACTTAATTCTTAATGAGCTCCAAAACAAAGGAAAGCAAAACGGAGGTAGGCATTTGGTGTTAAGTTCCTGGGTTCTGGTCCTGCCTCCTCCTCCAGTCCAGCTTCCTTCTAATTGACCTGGGTGGCAGTGTTGACGGCCTGGGTTCCAGAATGAGAGACCCAAATGGAGTGCTATGCTGCTGGGTTCTGCTGGCCTCAGCCCAGGCTGTGGCAGGCATTTGGAGGGTGACTCAGTGGATGGAAGAGCTCTGGCTCTCCGTCTATGTCTCTCTCTGCCTAAAATGTAAAATGAAAACAAAGAGAACTGAAGTCAAGAAGTGTTGGCTGTTGATTCATCAAAAAATAAAAACACCGTCTGAATCTTGAGTCCAGGTGAAGATGAGTGTTGTGTAGAACCCACAGCTGGCTCTCTGCTTCCTCTTCTGAAACCTCGGTTTAGTGCGGGTGTTGTAATTGGAGACCCAGTCAGTCTTCACCTTGACATCATGTTTTTCTTCCTGTGTTACAAGAGGTGAATACTGTAAATTGCCAACGTCAGGAATGTTAGATCTGGATAAGTCATTGTCCAGCATTTTTCTCCTGCCCTGTTGTTCCTTAGATGCAGACGCTGAGATCTGGACAGGCCAGGTAATTTCCTGTTAGTTGGGGGAAGACCCAGAGCTTGCAGCCTGGTGGAGGGTGGGGAACAAGGCCTGCCTGCATTGAAGCTTTAAGCAGCACCTGCCAGTGGAACCATCCTCACTCATTCCACACTTTGCGGAAAAAAAAGATAATTGTGAGCTCTGTCTCTGTCTTAAGGTAGTGGAGAGAGGGTTAGATGCACGGAAGTAAATGAAAGTTCCAGAATAATGGATGATACAATGAAAGTCTCTGTCAGTTGACGTTGTCTTCATTGTCTCTTGCCACAACATCCACCTTATGTAGTTTCGAGAGCTACAAAGCGAATGGAAGGATTCTGCTACAAAGTAAGTACTGAGCATAGTTGGAGCAGTTTCTCTAAAATCTTGTGTAGAGTATCATGTGATGGTTCCCATATTAAACATGTGAGATTGTCATCTGAAACCCACCATGTGTTCTGATTCCATGAGGGATGGTTGCATTCTACTTGGTCATCCCCCAGTGTGCTGTGATTGCTAATATTTAATCTGTTTAACTGAGTTGGAAGTAGAGACAGTGACACCAGGTGTCAGTCGTGATGGGTTCTCACTGGCCGCTTCCTATGTCCGGGGCAGAAGTTGTTCAACTTACTCAACCCCAGGTGGGTGTCTCATTTGTAAAAATCCATCAGTAGCAAAACAGTTTTCAAGTTGCTCTGGAAAGAGGGATCCTAAATAACAGACCCTTCCCCCTGTGCTATTGGCTTGTCTGAGTTACTCTGTGGTCATTTTCAAACAATTTTGCTAGAATTTGCCTTGATTCATAGTTTTCCATCTTTTTTTAACCCTCTCCTGGAGTTGGGAATCTCTGCAGTTGACACTAATCCGGTTCAGATTGGAGTCTGGAAACCCCAGGGCTGGGTTGTGTCTCAGTAATGTGGGGAGGTGTGGCCGCTCTCTGCTGCCCTGAGGTTTATGACTTGCAGGGTTCCTTATCTGAAGGAGTGGCTGCCTCCCAGGGCGTCTGCCATGCCAGTGGTGCAGCCTCTAGGTTTATGTAGAGGATTCCTCTGGAACGTTGTAAATATTTAATCTTGAACAGAAAAAAAAAATTATAGACTGAAAAATGGCAGTTTTATTCAGGGATTGTGTTCATGAACTACGGGCCAACACTTGTGCAGATAGGCCATACAAGCTCATGTATGTGTGTGTCGTGTGCGTGCCCATGTATGAAGTGTTTGAAAGCTGGGTATTGAGACCTGTTGGCGTTCACAGTGTTTGATGAATGACGGGATTTTGCTCAAGGCCATCGTAGCCGGAGAGGACGTCCCCTTGCTCAGCGTGCCCTTCATTCACTGCGTGCTTGCATCCTCACTAGCGTTCGTCCTAGCTCTTGCACGTCCTGGAGGCTTAAGCTACACATCTGACTTAGGTGCGTCAGCCATTTATAAGGATAGGCTAAGGAAAATTGCACTGATTTTAGTACCCACTGCCCCTCAACATGCTACTTGGATTCTCAGTGTTGACTGCAATAATACTTGACCAAGATGAAGTAAATGTCGAGGAAAGGATTGATTAAACGTAAAGAACAATTGCTCATAGCTTCGTGTCGTGGATTTCGGTGACACTGATGAGAAACTCTGTTGAGTGTAAACTTGGTGTGTCTGATCCTATTGCAGAACTTTTGGGTGTCTTGTAACCTTCTTTCACTAATAGACGCCCAGCCCTGTCCCCCATGTGTTCCTGTTTTTCCCTGGGCGGTGAACAGTGGCTCCCCAGTGACTGCACAGGGGAATTTTTGAATCTTATTTTTGGCCTTAATGATTTATTTCTGAATAATAATGGTGCTTAGTATATAAGAGGTCAGAAGGTACAGTTAGTCTCTGCCAGTATAATGTTGCCTCACAGAAACACTTCTGAACTTGGGAGACAAAAGCTCCAATTAAGTTTAAATATGTGTGTAACAGAGTTGGGAATGTCCAGAACTACAGCAGTTCGTGAGTTACTCTTAAGCGTGAAAGGTTAAATTGCATAGTTCGGCTTTGCACTTGTTACTTATTTAGCTCAGATGAGCTCTCAGAACTAAATGTTGGCATCGCATGGCTCTTTGGTGAGAAATAGAAAAATTTTAGTGATAGAAATAAGCCTTAAGTTTCTTATCTCTGAGGTATATAACCTATAACTAAGCATTAATTTGTTTATCAAAATGGGCAATCATTTATGAATTTTTAATTTGTTCTCTGGTCATTTCATGTTTGTGAAGTGAAAAGGGGCTAACAGCAATTATTTTGGCAGTTTTCAACATCTTTTTTGAAGTCTCGGAAAATGTGTACAAAGTATAAAAACATCTTAGTTATTAGATTGCATTTGTAGGTCTTCCAAACACATAAGCTGACTTTGCTTATTACCTGTTTTATGTAATAATTATGTTAGACGGACACATCATGTATCAAACTTAGCTGATAAAACTTTAGTCTGTGCCTCTTCTCATTGCTTTGTATGAAGTTAATCTCTCTCCTTCCCTCTCACTCCCCCTCCTCCCCCTTAAAAATCCTGAGTTGGTGAAGGTGGCAGTGAATTGTTGAAATGAGAACCTGTGTAGGGGTTAGGTGCAGGGATGGTTTGGGGTGTTTCTGCCCGTTGTTTTCTGGTTGCTGACAGTAGCGGGAGTCACCTCTGTTCTCCTTTCCCCCTACCATTGGTTGCCACTGGAGGACCCGGTGTCTGTGAGGGACAAGT